AACAGGGCCTACGCGACGCTCATCGAGAAGAACATCCTGGGCGGGGTACATGACCACAAGGAGATCGACTGCTCTTGGGTCCGCGACGTCCGCAATCCGCACGTCCCAGCTGAGGCGCACCACCAGTCAGCATCAGCTTCCGACAAGGAGGGCGGTTTCAAGAAGATCAAGGGTGCGAAAAGGGATCCTGGGTGGCCGAACTTCTCAGCGACCACCGGGTGCAAGCCTGTAGTTCAGATGGATTTGTTGCGCCACGCGAGGGAGATAGGCACGACGGTGGACTTCATCAGGACGACGGTTTACTGCACCCTGGCAAAGGCAGGGCACATGGTTGTCAAAAGGGTGGGCACGCCGACGCGGTGCCTCTCCTTGGGCGACTTGTACGGCATCTGCGCTCTAGGGGTCCCCGTGATCAACCTGGAGATGCCGTCTACGGGCAGGGACTACTTCAAGCTTGATTTGGACGGCCGCTGCACTGGCTTCATGCAGCTGTTCATGACCGACGCTGCCGAGTGGGAGGCCGCTTTCGTGGAGTGGGAGTCGCCAGAGGGTGCCTTCGTCGCGGAGAGGTGCGCTGACTCCATGAAGGACGACGTCAAGCTTCGCCCGACTGCCAGTGGCGGGATCGGGCCTCTGCTGATTGTTGCTGCGTCCAGGGCATTCTTCGACTTATGCATCACCGCCTTGAAGGGGATCTGGAGGTACCAGGGATACGGCAAGATCGATGGGTCTCCCGACTTGTTCCAGATGCTCAGGATGATCTGCAAGATGGTCTTGAATTGTGAGGGGCGCGAGCTGATCGCCATTCTTAAGCTCAGGAGCTTCGCGAGTGGCACAGAGGACGAGGCGCTTGAGAAGATGGAGGGCGCATGGGACTGCCTGACCAAAGACGAGATGGAGGCTGCCGCGAAGAAAAAGGATAGCAAGGATAACCTCAAGATCCAGAAGAAAGCTTACTACTCCAGCTACAAGAGGTGGGCGAAGGAGACGAAGGCCAAGAGCGGTGGCGGGAAAGGCGGCCCGAAGCCTTGGAAGCCAGCAGACTCCAGAGGCCCATCGAGCTGCCCAGATCGATCCATCGAGCAGCCAGAAGCCAAGCTCTACATCCCGCCCTTCACCGCGATCTGGCGCGGGAGCTTGGGCTCCGGCGGCTGGCACGTGCATTGCTACGAGCAGCGCAAGAGCAGGTCCTGGCTGGAGGAGGGATATTGTCTCGGGGCTCTTCTTTATGTTTTGAGGTTTGCTTGGAAGAAGCACCTCGGTAATTGTGAGCTCCCGCTCACGGCGCGCCCGATTCGCGGTTTGTTCAGTGACCAGGGCCCCCCTGGGCTGATCGCTGCCCCTGCAGGCGGTGCCAGCTCGTCGGGCGCTGCTCCGAGCGGCCCTTGAGGGCCCATCGCGCAGCGAAGAGATCGAACACATAGAAATCATGAAGGAAAACAGCCAGGTTTAAAACCACGATGTTTTTGAAGATCAGAGGGTCCAGCGCGTGTTGCATGGTAGTTAGGTAAAGGAATTCCGTAGGCTTCCGATCGACATTGGGGAAGCATCTCGACAGGAGAATTTGGGTGTTGTCTCCGATGCGGTAGTACGTCATTACTGCTGGCATGATGCGAAGCGTCGTTGTCTGCGGATTTCGTTTCAGGTTAGTTTAGTCTCCACCCCTCCCCATCTTTGAGCAAACCCTGCTTCGTGATCAGTACATGTCTGACCCCTTTAAGTTTCAGACACAGCCTGCTTCCCCATCCCCTCCCACCCCCTACTCAGTACGACCGTCCTTTACTTTCCCTCTCTAAGGCTTGTCCCATTCGCCCCTCTCCCTCTCACTACTACCTCGTCCCCCTCGCTCTACCTCCGTCGCCCCTCCTTCCTCCCAATCCGTCTCTCTCTCTCTCTCTCTCTCTCTCTCTCTCTCTCTCTCTCTCTCTCTCTCTCTCTCTCTCTCTCTCTCTCTCTCTCTCTCTCTGCACCCTGCTCGTCCTCTTGTTCCTGCTATTGCTGTGCTCTCCCACTCCATTGCGTCGAACCTCCCCCGACCCCTTCGTTCCTTTTTTTTTTTTTTTTTTTTTTTTTTTTTTTTTGCATTTCGCCTTGCCACGGAATGAGATCAGCAGGGCCTGTCTCTGGAGAATATTGCTCGAGCGTCTCGAGCGCCCGCCGTCTCGAGCGAATATCGTTCAGTTAATGTTTCTCGAGGCTCTTGCTCGAGGACCATCTTAGAATTCATTCGCGCGAGAAACATTGTTGCGAAAAAGCGCGGTTCCTTCCCTGGGCATGTTACTTCCATGAGAATGTCCTATAGTGTGCTTCCCTGAGAATGCCCCAGTGGGCTTCGACGGGGGGCCTCAACAAGGACACCCTGGGAGGGCATCGAGACGACGTCCGAGGTCTGCATATCAAGTGCCGTCTTGTCGCAAACCCTGGGTGCCATTTCGGTGTCCTTGTTGAGGCCCCCCTCTCGGCGCCTGGGATGCCCTCGAAGTCCTGAGAGAGGGCAGTGCGACGACGAGGAGGCAATATACCTAGGTGGGAGGAACCAGGCAAACTAAACGGTGGGCCGATGAGGAAGTTGGAGGGTAGAGGTGGTGGCAGAAGGAGGGGGGGGGAGGACGGACTCGGGAGGACGGGTGAAAGAGAAGGGGTTTGAGAGAGAGAGGTCGGGATGAAGGGGCTCGGAGGTTCCTAACTCGTGCCGCGGAGGCTTTGGCACCGCCCCCCGCTGCTCTTGCGCGCGGAGTTGTCCACTGGGGCCATAGCGTGAGAGGGGCGGGGGGGGGGGGGGGGTGCGCTGCTAAAGAATCCATGGCGCGAGCTATGACCTCCTCCTCCCGCTTCTGCTCCTGCCCCTGCTCCTGCTGCTGCTCCTGCTGCTGCTGCTGCTGCTGCTTCCCCTCCTCCCCCTCCTCCTTACCTCTCCGCCTTCGCCCTCCTCGCTCGCCCTCCTCCCCCTCCTCCTTCTCCTCCTCCTTCGCCCCCCTCCCTCCTCCCCGCCCTCCACCTCCTCCCTCCTCCTCGCTGCTGCTGCTGCTGCTGCTGCTGCTGCTCCTCCTCCTCCTCCTCCCTCCCTCCTTCTCGCCATAGCAGTCGCACCACCATTCCGTATGATATTCGGCCTCGGTTTGTTTGGGCGTCACATGGAGGTCAGGGTCAGTCTTCTGGGCTCTACAATCGCGCTCGCGCTCGCGACAGGCTGCTACCCGTGTGCGTCTACTGCGACACCGACGACATGCCCGCCGATGCGCCGCCGCGCTGGGCAGCGCGTGGCAGCCAAAGCGAGGAGAGTGGCAGCACAGGCGCTGGCGCGGAGGACTGCGGCCCGGAGCCGACCCCTCCGCGAGGCGATGGCGACGCCGCTCACGCGCCAGCGGTACCAGCAGGCAGTCAACAGCGTCTTCGACTGGTGGCTGGAGCAGCAGCGCGAGGTCGCGACGCCAGGCCAGGCGGACGCGGGCCTCGTGGACTACATTGAAGGCCGCTGGGCAGCAGGGGGTTCGCTGTTTGAGGTGAACACCGCGATCGCTGGGACGTGCCGCCACTTCCCCCTGCTGCGAGGCCACCGCGGGAGAGCTAGCGCTCGGCTCGGACGTGGCAGCGTCAAGAGCCAGCCGGGCGTGCGCTGCCCATTGGCCCGCTCATCGCGCTAGCGTTCTCTGGCGGGTTCGTCGTCGCGGGCTTCCCTTCGGCCGCGGCGGTGCTGCTCGGGGGAAATCTTGGCCCTTCAGTGGGCAGACATCACGCTGCGTGAGAGCAGCGGCGCGGTTATGATCAGGCTGCGCGACGTCAAGAGCCAGCACCAGACAGGAGCTGGTGCGTTCGCGATGGCGCGCCCCCGGCCGGCGGCGCAGCTGCCGGCGACAGCGCGCGGGCAGCGCCGCAGCTCCTCGCAGGGGCGCGAGCAGTGCGAGGAGCGAGCGCTGGGCATGTCGCTGGCAGCGTTCCACCGCGTCTTCGCGGAGATCAGGTCCCTTCTGGAGCTCGACGTCCAGAAGCTGACGCTGTGCAGCTGGAGTCGCGGAGGCGCGTCGGCCGACTTCCGCGCCCGCGGCCCGATGGAGACGACACTCCTCAGGGGGCGCTGGGCGAGCGTCCGCGCGGCAAGGCTGCACGTGCAGGGCGCCGTGGCAGAGGCGACGATGCTCGACCTCTCGCCCGCCCAGCGCACCCGCTGCCTGCAGCTGGCGCAGCGGGTGCACAATCGCTCTTTGCCTGCCCGCCCTTGTTCCCCTCAGAGTTTCGTGGGGTGGAGGTTGGTGTCGGGGTGCCCCGTTAAGGGTCCGTGGAGAGTAGTTGCCAGACCCTCGCCCTTGACAGGTCTTCCCAGGCGCAGAGCGTCCCTGCGGCCTCCGAGGGTGCCCAAGCGGGCCTTTCCCGGCCGGCGTTTCGCCGTGCGCAGAGGGTCCGCCTGTGGGAGGCTTGTCGCGGGTGGGCTCCGGCCCTTGGCAAAGCGACTCCTGGCGGAGCGCTCAAAACAGGGGGGTGGGGGGGATAGAGCATATATATTTATACACACATACATGTACATGTACATACAAGTGCGCGTGCACATACATATGATGTGCATGCTCCCTCCGTGCCCATATATTCGTCGCAATCATGGGTACATATAAATCCATGGGCACCCCGCCAATGAAATGAGTTTCGCGACATGTTGGGTCTGTTTTTTTGGTAAGTGGGGTGTCCAAATATTTGTCCAAGTCAAGCGTTCGCGAAACACGTTTTGTCAACAATTGCAGCGCCTGGATCTCAGCCCCCCCTCTTCCTTCTCCTCCTGTCCGCCCCCCTGCATGGCATCTGCCCCTCCCCCTCCAGGACCCCCTGTCGCGGGGGAGCCCAGGTACCAATACCGCTACTCCCCTGGCCTCTCCCGGGGCGCGTTCTGCCCAGGATTTCGAGGCGAATTCACTCGCAGCGACCAGGGCTGCAGGAGCAGCGGTATCAGCACCTTTTCCTGTGACTCTCCCTCCTCCTCTCCTGCCCCCTCCCCGCCTTCCTCTCCCCAGGACCCCCTCGCCTACGCGCTGGCCCCCGCGGGCGCGGCCGAGGCGGGCTGCTGGGAGGAGTGTGGGCTCGAGGCGCGGTCCCCGCCCGGTCCCTCCCCGTCCGCCCGCGCGTCGTCGGCGTCGCTCTGGTCGACGGCTCTTGCGGGCCTCCGGCATCAGGGGCGCCGAGACGGGGGCTGGTTCAGGGCGCCAAGATCTCCGACGATGTGATTGCTTCAATTTCTGCGTTTTCCCTCGATTTCGGCCCTCGGCCATTGTCGGGCCTAAGGACCATCAGAAATGGATGTGGCGAAAAACTACCTCCAGGGAAGGGGTCGGGCTTTTGTGGGACCCGGCATTGAAGATCAAAGGAGGAAAGAGGCACCGAGACCGCAGCCCTTGCCGCGTTTTCACTTTCTGTCCCTCCCGGGTGGCCCCCGTCACCACCGCTAACTTGGCTTCGAAATTCCCACGAGAGGGGGGGGGGGGCCTGGCTCAGGGAGGGGGGGCATCGGTCGAGGGTTCCCTCGGGCCTCCGAGATCAGCGGTGCCGAAGGGAAGGAGGGCCGACTCGAGTGGGGCGGGGTGGAAGGAAGGTCAAGGGCTCTCACGGGCCTCCGATGTCAGCGGCGCCGAGAGGGAGGATTGGCTCGGGGGGTGGAGGGGGGAGCATCGACCCCCAATTGCCCGTTCCCTTCTGACCAGGGCCGGGAGTGCCCCAGCCTGTCCAGGAGCGTGTGGTTCCCTAACCCGTGGCATCGCCGATCCATCGGCGATGCACCGTCGATTCCAGGCCTCTGTCCCCTCCCCTGGGCCAGCCCCCCTCCCCTGTCGGCCCCCCTCACGAGAGCGAAAGCCGCTCCATGTCGGGAGGCCCGAGCGGTGTCAGAAGCCATGGCGGCCGAGGGCACGGCGCTAACGTACCGCAGGGCACCCGCACAGGGGGGCAACGATGTAGCGGCGACGGACCCCCCGAGCAGACCCAGCTTCATCTTGGCGAGACATCAGAACAAAAAGGCATGGCCAGAAACTCTACCCTCCACAGCTGGGCGCCGCCTGCCCCGCTGTGAAAGCGAGAGTGCTGGATCGCCCAGTGTTTGCCCCTCGTCTCACTTGTTTTCTTATCCGTAGACATTGTGGCTCCCAGGGCCCTTGAGACTCAGGCGACATACGGAAAAAGATCGTCGCCTATCTCAGAAGTTGCATCTTCACATTGGTAGCGGAGCTGTTCGACCCACGGACACGCCTTCGCAGCATCGAAGAGAAGCAGCTCGCAGCATCGAGAGAAGCAGCTCGCGGCATCCGAGTTCGGCGGACAGGCCACCACACATTAAGAAGTACGAGGCAGGAGATCTACAGGGAGATCTACAGCAGGACCAGCAAGGATGGCGCCCAAGGTGGACCCGTCCGAGGAAGCAGCTGAGGGTGAGGAAGGACGTACCCAGCAGCAGGGAGGACCACGCGTTCCAGCTCCCGCCTTCGACCCACAGACGACGACGATGAAGGATTACAGGAGGCGAGTGGCGATATTCAAGATAAGGACCAGACTGCCCCTTGAGAGGCAGGCCGCGGAGTTCTACGCAGAACTGAAGGGCGACGCCTGGATTCATGCAAAGAAACCTCGACCCGACGGAGCTTCATAATGACGAAGGGGTCCAAGTGCTGCTCGACTTCCTAGCATATAAGTTCGACGACGAGAAGGTGATCCGAGCTCAAGACTTTCTTCACACGCATGCGCCGCGACAGCGGCGAATATATCAGGGCCTTCATCAACCGTTTCGACACGCAGGTCTCGAGACTTAAGACAATGCAGATCGAGTTCCCGAATCAAACGCTGGCGTGGTTGTTCATGTGGTGGCTTGGCCTGCCGCCGAATCGAGAAGCTGGAGGGCTGAATGCCAATCAGAATAACTACTAGTTCAAGCCTCTCCAGAAGCGGACGTTGCTTAACGTGAAGGACGCCAAAACACTGGACAAGCACACCCCCCGGAGGCCAGCACCCATGACACCACTAGCGCCCAGAGGTCCACCAGCACGACCTCGACGATGGGGAGCTCACATCACCGAGAACGACGAAGAGGAGGATCTCGAGGTGCACGAGACCCAGGTGGACGACGATGACCTGCCGGAGGAGTTACTTGAAGAGCACGAGGAAGCGGAGGCCGAAGTTTACAAGTTGGAGAAGATGCTCGCCCGAGCGAACGGCAGGCAAAAAGACGCCAAGCAAGCTAGGGGATTTTATCATAGAGATCGGCTACCTGGGCGCGGACTTGGTAAAGGACCTGGCGGGGAAGGCAGTCCTGGAGGCGGCAAGGGGCCCGGCGGCAAGGGCTCGGACCGCATCGAGAAGCTACAGGCGAGGACTCACTGCGCAGTGTGCCAGAAGCCAGGACACTGGAAGGGCGACCCCGAGTGTACAGAGCGCCAAGTAAGGCGCACATGGCGACTGCCGACGACCATGGCGAAAGCGACCAGGGATCCGAGCAGCATCTCACGAGCTGGAGTAGCAAGGAGAAGCAGATCGAGAAGAAGACGCTCTTCATCAACAACGACGTGCTGATGACCGGCACGGGCAGCGTGAACGTTATCATGGCTGCGAAAGAGGAGCTGCTGCAGCAGTGCGGCGGCAAGCTGCTACCAGACTCGCGCTGCGCCAAGTCCGTTGGAGGGCAGGTTTGGCATGGCGACGTCAAGTGGCGGCTCGCGAAGGCGGGCCTCGAGCCGATCGATTTTGACGAACATGAAGTTTTCAGGTTCGGCGCTGGGAAGCCAGTAACGAGCGCGATCGGAGCGCTGGTGCCGCTCGCAGTGCGCGGACGCCCTTTCGCGCTGAGGATATCCATCGCGCCGTGCCTGGCCCCCGCGCTGCTATCGCAGAAGGCTCTTGGTCAGCCGGGGGCAGTGCGCGACCGCGAGGTGGAGGCCGGCGAGAGCACCGCGACGTCCAGGGGGCTGGAAGTCTCCATCCTCGAGCTCGGGCAGACCAAGAGCGGGCGTCCGAGTTTCGAGGTGCTGGAGTTCGGCGGGGCTCACATTTTTACCGTGGCTCCAGACGTGAGCCCCGGACAGACAGAGATCAGGCTGCTTCCGCCATCACAGCGCCGGCGAAGAGAACTCGAGAGGAGCCCCTATCATCGTCGCTCGCAGGGTCATCATGCCAAGGGGGCCTCCCAAGAACAGGTGCGAGATATTCCTAGTGGGCCTCCAACGGGACCCAGATGGGGCCCTGCGCCAACCACGTCAGGAGCGACCCGAATCCCGAGGAGCCAAGCTTCAACATCATGAGGGATCCGAACCAGTACGAGCTAAACTTCAACGACTGCGAGAGCAATCCGAATCACTGCGAACTAAACTTCAGAAAGCCTCAGGAGCACCCCAACGAGAACCCTGTACGGACCAGGTTCGGAAAACGGATAAGCGCGCCGAGTTGCAGAAACCTATTCAAAAGCAGCTAGCACCAGCACCAGCAAGATGCGTGCGATTCCACATAACGGACGATGATGCAACAGTTCGGCCTCAGCCAAGTATGGTTCAAACCGTTTCGGGTGATTCCCAATATCAGTGCTTCCATTCATTTGCGAATGTCTTTCAACGTGCTGGGATGGATCCAGGTTTGGGACGCCCTCGATGACAGCGCCAACGAGAAGTACAACGCCGTGGCGCTGATGCGCTGGAAGCAGATTTTCAAGCTGGCGTTCTTAGCCATCGCGGTGACCAGGCACCCGGCGGCGGCCATCATCTCCCGCAACGGGCGCCGCCACGGCCAGGAGGGCATCCTCGAGAGGCAGGCCGAGGCGCCAGCGCTCAGACGACTACTACCACTGGGGACTATGGTCAAGGTGGAGTTGCAGGAGGAGATGGAGAGCAACGGGTTGGAGTTCCAAGACGTGGGCTGCAGAGAGATGCGCGCGATCCTCAGCGAGCAACGGATCGAGAACGGCCAGAGCCGCAGAGGAGCTCGAGCTGCAGATCCAGAACTCCGAGGACTCGCCAAGAAGTCACGAGCAGAGTCGGCCCAGCTGGCCAGGAAACGCAACGCGCAAGTTACCGACGACATGCTCAAGGACAAAATCGTGTGTTTTTGCTGGGACAGACACCGAAAACAGTCAAGAAGGAAGAGACCAAGGGCGAGGTACCGCTGCTTACGACTTCGAAGGTTGCTTCAGCGACCAGGTGCGCCTCCTTGGCCTGTCGGAGCTTAGGAAGGGAGCAACGAGCGAGACCAGTGGGGCCACAGCCCTCGGACGACTCAGAGAGCGACGAACCGCCAACCAGGAGAAGAAGCCCATCGATCAGCGACGCGGCTATTGCAGCAGAAGACATCGGCGCAGAGGAGGACCAGACTTGGGAGATTATAGTGCCGAAGGGGAAGAGCAGAAAACAGTGGGAGTAAAGCGCGAGACGAAGCCGGGGCAGATGAAGCGCCACGAGGACATGATCAAGAAGGCCGTCAGTTTCCGGATGTGGCAGACCACGTTCCTCGGCACCTATCTGGCGAAGCCGCTCTTCTCGGGAGGCCAGGCTATCGTTCAAGATCTCTGCGACGTGTTCAACGCCCAGACCGACCCGGGCTACGACGAGACGCAGATCTTCGCAGGCGAGGCCGTCACCTCAGAGGAGTTCAGTCGAGCCGGACTCAAGGTGTGCGAGCCCATTGATCATATCTACAACTACAACCTGCGGAGCGCCCAAGATTGGCGAGAGATTCTACAGCTCTACCGCACATGCAAGCCGAAGCTCCTCACACTGGAGTACCCCTGCGCACTCTGGGCACAACTTACCAGGGTGAACTATCGAGGCGAAGCTAAACAACAACAACTACGTCGCCAGCGTCTTAGAGATCGTCCCCTACTAGACTTCGTGGATGAGATCGGCATGATGCAGCTGAACAGCAAGCGAGACATCCTGTTCGAGAACCCCTTGACTTCGGAGGTATTCAAGCATTCCCAGATCATGCGTGTAAAGGAGCATCCTTGGGTGAAAGAGGTGAAGGTCGACATGTGCCAGTTCAACCTACGACGCCAGCAGTCTAACGGGCTGGTCAAGAAGCCGACGAAACTCTTGGTCTCCAGTGACTCCTACGTCAAGCGGCT